TACAGTCATGGGCACCGAAGTGGGCCTCATATGTCTTGCATCCGGCTTCAAACGATGGGTATCGTGGGGCAGGACAAGAGGGGTAAACTAAGCAGGGAGAAGTGACTGTGGAATGTAGTGGTGTTCTTGATTACATCAAGTCTCAGAGACAACACTAGGGTGACTTTACGCGAGGAAGAATCATTGGGAAACTGAAAAAAGGAAGTTGTGTCCAGGAGTTTTGTGTCAACCACAGCATTGTTTTTTGTGCATGAGAAGCAATGTGGACCGCAGCCACTGCTGTCCCAAGAAGAGGAGGTTGTGGGTCACGAACAACCGCAGCAGCAGGTGATTGCTAGGTTTTGCTACAGGCAAAAATGGACCCACGTCAGTCACATGCTGCAGTTGCAAAAACATTTATCAGGATTGTAAGGCATGTAATCCCAGTCCGGACAGTGGCGCAGTGACCGCCTAGGAGTGATCTCTCTCATCGATCAACAATACCTGTATTCATTTGAAATCCACGCCTCGGCTGGGACATTTGGTACGAGCCGAGACATTGGAGATGGACCACCGAATTGAAAAATCGCGTATTCCCGGTCAAGAGCAAACTGAATGTGAGTAGTGATTCTGGACTTACCTGCATATGGGGAAAATAGGAACGTGTAATCTACCCAGGACCATCGTTTAACATGATTGTTTTGGTAGTGCATGCGACATGATGTGGGGAGGCATAAAGTTGTCGGGGCGTACTGATCCCCAACTCATGATCGCGTTACACTTTCTGATCAACGTGATTGTGGTGTTGTACCCTTCTGTCATGTGCATCTTTCCAAGGGTTCCCTTGCCCTCAGCTTCAATCGTATGGAGGGCAGTGTGCGAGAGTATCGAGCAGCCTGGGTGGAAAACTCTTGAAAAGTGAGGATTTTCGGTAATTGGTGAAGCCATTTATTTCCTCCAGTCTAATTCTATGGAGCACGTGTGGCGTGGATTCAGATGAGCTATTGTAGCACATGACCATGTGCCAACAATAGTCCTGCAGTTGTCAATCGCGGTCTCCAAGGAATCGGTCACTTCTCCTCAAGAACTCTTAACTAATCTTACGGCCTGTATGGGAACACGTAGCAGAGCATACCTTGCAGTCCGTAGTGTTCATACACCCCATCAAGAACCAGCTCCTCTCTTTTGAATGTCTACCATGAGTTGGAGAAGCCTCACCTATCGACCGCTTCAGACAGGGTATTTGCAGAAAAATGTCTTTTCCAATCGCCCCTTTGCGCTTTTCTGTTAGTAACTCTCTGCACTGTACCGCAACATTTACTTCTATATATGTGCCAAATTTGGTCCACCTAGGTTAACTAGCAGTGAGATATCATGTGAAAGTTACTTCCGGTCCTTAAGTTTTGCACACCAGTGTATGTTACCTGCCAAACCTACCTAAGAGCAGGGCAAAGGGTTGATGGGCGCGAGGCATGGACAAGAGCTACGACAAACAAACAGAGGCCGGGCAGACTCTCCATCAGGCGGCGGCGATACGCACATTAGGGCGGTACACACAAACAACAAACAACCAAAGTCATTAAAAATATTTAGGAAGGCGATGAAACATTCATGACTCCTCAGGGGTGTCGGGGATTGAAGTAGGAATTTGCTTATGACATAGCTTCATAGTTGGGTTCCTAGAAGCTCTCTGGATCGGGATCCAGAGTAACCAAAATCGTCGCGGTGACTTTACGAACAGCACAGTAATTCCCTTCCAAATTGTTTTCTTTCGCATACACTGCAGTGGTGTGCGCCCATGACCACTAACTAAGTCACAAGGCAAAATCTATTCAAATTCAATCTGGTATGATAAGGGATGGATATAACGGACGATGCAAGTAACTACGAAGCAAATGTTAGTAGAGTGGAATGTTAGCATTTGCTAAAATTGCAAGAACACAAGCAGGCTTGGCACTCCAATTACGAATCGCAACCAGCCAAGTCAGTTTGTTACGGTTTTCTCGTCCTAATGAATGATCTTGGAATATGTTCGATATTTTTTTCGACAGATATTGCTTTGTTGCTCTCAATGTTTAGTTCCAGAGTATCAAGGACGGGTCACTTCTAAAAAAAGAAAATGAAGAGAGTCATGCTTTGCTCTAATGAAGTCGAAAGTGAGCCTGATAAACCGAAAACCGTCTACATTCCACCTAATGGCAACATCACACGCTACATACAGGAAATGACAATAAGTCTTTAGTTCGAAAGGTCGTATAAAAACACCCACTGGATTTAAAGTGAGGAAGTTCATCACATAAACGCTTTGAATCAAAAAAAAATCGAAAGAAACGCAGACAGTAAGTGAGGCATAACGGACAAAAGAACTGATCTTGCTCCAGTAATTGTGGCTACACTTTCGAGCAAAAAATGTCTCAGATTTTCGAAGAAATTTCTTTTCACAAACAAGGGTTCTTTGATTCTCCATTGAAGAATGACCTCGAAAATTCTTCAACACAAACAATATCCATTGAAAGTTTAATTCTGAAAGAAGACTGGAATTCCGGGCAGTGTTCGAATTGAAATGTTCCCCAAAATGCGAAGTTTAAATTGACCAAAAAGCAATGATGAACATCCAGAGCTCTTCGTTGTTCCATAACCTACAGGATTCCAGAAAAGATTGTTAACCGTATTGGAGCTTTGACTCAATTTTTGCGCAATATGACTGCTTGACGATTCCTGGTCCTTTTTTGCTACAGTTTACCTTTTTTCAAAACCAAACTGTCTTTTTTATCTTGTGGGAACATTAAGGTGAAAGCCTGATAACTGCGAATCAGTTTCATGAAGCAAAAATGAATTTTCAACGAAGAAACACGGGGTGGCTGTATCATTTTTGAACATAGGAAAATCGACCTCTTCTGAAAAAATAGCACAAAATTTTTTAGTGTTTTCGACATGGATTTTTGTGTTGATATCTGAACTCGCCATGAAATTTGTCACATTTTCTATCTGACAGTTTTTCAGAAACTCTATGAACTTTAAGTTTTCGAACAAATTTTAGGTGGCTGTATCATTATTGAACGCAGTGTAGAGTTCTCGAACAATGCTAGCTTGGGCTGTGTGATTGAGCATACAGGGGGGGGGGCAAAAAAAAAAAAGCCTCCACTTCCAGATGGATTTAAGCACATTTTACTCAACTCAGACCGAACGGTTCCAACTTATTATTAAAGAGTGCATTCCATTCTATAAGAAAATCTTCATAGTGGCCACGTACGTGGACGGCATCAGAAGAATTAGCCCTGGAAACATGGTGCACTGGTCGATCTCAATGGGGTCTTCGAAGGATCGTGTACCATAACGACCCTTACTGGAAAGCTAGTTCCGAGGGGATTTGCACAGTGGTAGCTAATGCCTCTAGAAAACTATCCAACATTAAATCGATTCACGAAATTGCGTAAGAGCTTCAGGCTGAAGCTCTTACGGTAGACCTCCTTGAGCCTGACGACGGTGACAGATGACGTCATATTCTGAAGACGGTGAGGGCAGTGAAGGAGAGCCTGCGTACACTAATAGAGGAACACTTAGGGAATACTCTGCTGAGGAACTCCCGTCAACGACAGCAATCTCTGCGAAGAAAAAAGAGCCGAAGTCCGACATAGGCAAAATGTCTTTTTTTTGGCCCCCCTGTATAGTGTCTATGAACATGCCTCAGCGTGAGAGCAATACTTCCTCAAACGACGTGAGGTGCTAGCAAGGGTTCGCTTCCCTTGTTTCAAGGCAAAAAAAAACTGTGAAAATTGGCGTTCTATATCGCGAATCGTCAATGAAGAGATGCGAGCGTGGTCATTCGTTGGAAGTGAGAGCTTTAAAAAACAACTTATGGCAAGAAGGCTCGACTTTCTTCCCAACCATCATTTCTTTAGTACGATTTTCGAACCCTGCGGGTTAACCAGACCAAAGTTCCCATTCCAGATATCGCCAGAAAGCCGAGCGCCTTTCTTCGCTGATGAGGAGGGAACCGTTTAACTTGAGAGAGCGTCTACTCTCAACGGTCGAATTTTCCGCTCTTCATGGAAAATTGGAAGAACTAGGCGGCTACAGCTACCGCACGGGAGCTTTACAGTATTTCTGTCTCGACGTAATATTCGTTATTCTTGTAATGGTTGCGTTACAAATCACTGCTTTTGCATACGGTATTCGGAAAATTTCTGATCTTGTCCTTTCTCGCAAGAGTAAGACAGAATTAACTGATAATCAGGCCACATAATTTAAAACGATTCGCACGGGTAAATAAATATTATATTAGAAGCAGCTCACATGCATCGACACTCAACGCTGTTCAATCCTTCGTCTAAATGCAGGGTATTCTATTCTAATCACCATTTTAACTTTTTATGAATTCATATGTAAGCTGGATTTTTGAATTGAATTCTTGAGGATAGTAACAGTAAGTTACAGTAAATTGGGCAATCAGACGTCAGATTAGTGTTTCTGTCTCTACAGATAGATTTAGCGCAGTATTAACCGTAGAGCGCGAGATAGAATTAGTACCACATAGCAGCAATATGCTAGATCGGGAAGTGGAAAGCAAGCAATCAGGCCGCTCTTCCCAGAAATGCTCACACTAGGATATCAGGTAAATCACAAGAAATGCTCACTTCATCTGCTTTGAATTGCCCTTAAATGGTAAAAGCATCGACGTGTTGTGATAGTTTCAAGTTGCGGCCACAATTCGAATGCCTGATTTTACATGAGGATACAGTTCTAAGAAGTTGTAGCAACTGCTAAATGTGGCAGTAAGTATAAAAAAACCACGTAATGTTTTCAAGAATCATGCTCTACATTTTGCAGCACAAAAACGGAAATTTTATGTGGTCAGAACTTTTGCTGTCGTACTTGGATTTCTATTTCTTGAGAGTAGTACAATTTCAGAAGGTATGCAATTGAAACTGAATGGCATTTCGATCGAACAACGAGTGATCAATGCTTAACGCAAAGGAATGATCTAGACTCCTAATCACAGATGTCGAGCGGGGTGCAGCGACAAGTGGCGCCAGTTACTATCCGTACCGCCTGATACTTTAAAACCTTAAAGGAATCTTCCACGGACCATGGACCAGTGGGCGGGACCGGAAGTTTTTGTGACGAAATGCATGGTAGGTACGGATCCACGTGTCGAACGCACGAACGTGAACAGGATTCACTTCAAACCTTCCCATGAACGTGGATCCGTACCTACCATGCATTTCGTCGCAAAACCACTTCCGGTCCCGCCCACTGGTCCATGGTCCGTGGAAGATTCCTTTAATTGAACTCGTTCAGTCCAACTGAGCCTCCACATGAGTGAGTCGCTAATTGATATCACGGTTCTGGAGTAACGAAAAGCTTACCTATGAATTATTCGGAATATCGAAAAATCAGAGCGCATGATGCGAAAATAATGTTTTTCATAATACGAACCAATGGTGAGAGAGGTCTCGTCATACAGCATGGTCTATGAACGATTAGCGCAAGTGTACTTTGCTTACTATTACATCAGAAACCAATGTCAGATAACGGAACGGTTTCTCCTGTTGAAGAAGGACGGAGTGAATGTTAAAATATTTCACGTACGTGAGGAAAAAAAGCGTTCGCGATTAGCGGTGCACAGACGACGCCTATTTTCGAAGGCTTTTTTCACTTTGGTGGATCGTAACTGCCTCGATATCAAGCTCAACACTCGGCCTCAAATACTAGGGCACGACAAATTGGAGTTCTTCATTAGCGAAATCAGGCGAAATTAGCAAGTGCTCGAATGAGCGTGGCTTATGTCATAGAAAGCATTTTCACTCGCACATTCACGAAACCGGTCTGCGCTGAACACTGGTTCGCATTCCTCATAAAATTTGGCTTACTTCATTTCGTTTACTCTCATTCTGCTCGTGATGTGCTTTCGTGATTGTTCTTGAAAGAGGTCGGTGCGTCATAGGTCAAATTCATAATAGCACTTCCTTGGTACCCGTGTTAATCACGACATGATAATACAGATGGTCAGTGGTCCAGCATCGAGTACATCGCGAAATATACCCGCGAAAACGTCTCGAATTAGATACTTCTTATTGCAAGTTATTGTAGCATTTTACGTCAATGTGGAAGAAAACACTACATCTCAAGAAGAATTCACACGTAACAGGCAAGGGACATGCCGACGACCGGGATGCAAGCTACGCCCACGACATAATTTCACTGCACTTGGGTTCCCTTGAGTCAGTGCTCCTCCAGGCCTTGTCAAGCGCTTATGAGTCTTCACCCGTTGCAAGTAAGCAAGCATTCAAGCATTCTGGATCGAACCGATGTGAAGGGGAAATTTGTGATCAAAGTGAAGCCCATTAGAATCGTGGTATTCAGATATGCTCAGTGGTGCCGGCACTTTAGAAAAAATATGAGATACAGCCCAGATTGCCGGACCATATCCTTTGCGCGAATTGCGAGGCGACCCGTGTTCACAGGGGTCCGCATTTTTTTCCACTAGGTGGATTTCTCCTTCTTCGACCTTCGACCTCATCGTGAAATCCTCCCTAAACACAAACACAGAAGAGAGTTTTTGGGTGCGATATTGGGTGTTTATTAAGGAAATATGTCTAATGTGAGAGAAATTTCGAGGGAGAGATTTCTACTGCTATTCCTCGCTGCAGCTATTTCCGGTCTCGATTGCTGAGAGCACTAGAGCTGCGCAACAATGCTCTGGTTTTCGTAATAAAAAGGACAAAGCGATGCAATGATGCTAATGATCTCAACTGCCATCCAATCTTTTTCAGAAGCCGTGGAGTTGAAAAAGCACTATTCGGGAAGATGCGAATCGTTTTCCTTGGTTTTTTCCGTACTTCTTCCCATCGCGCGGGACGCGCGCTATGAATTCCATGAAATTTGCATTTCAGCGCCTCTTATCAACCCTTATCAGCCATTATCACTTATTGTACCCCACCAAATATGTTCCCGTCCCACGCTATACATAACTTCTTGGAACCAACGCCCCACTACTTCTGGGACGCGCGCTATGAATATCATGGCGTTCTGGCGCCTCTTATCAACCCTTATCAGCCCTTATCCCCCTGTACCCCCCCACCGAACATGTTCCCGTCCCACGCTGTACATCACTTCTTGGAACCAACGCCCCACTGCTGGGACGCGCGCTATGAATTCATGAAATTTGCGTTTCAACGCCTCTTATCAACCCTTATCAGCCCTTATCACTTCCTGTACCCCACCGAACATGTTCCCGTCCCACCCTGTACATCACTTCTTGGAACCAACGCCCCACTGCTGCTGGGACGCGCACTATGAATTCATGAAATTTGCATTTCAACGCCTCTTATCAACCCTTATCAGCCCTTATCACTTCCTGTACCCCACCGAACATGTTCCCGTCCCACGCTATACATCACTTCTTGGAACCAACGCCCCACCACTGCTGGGACACGCGCTATGAATATCATGAAATTGGCGTTCTGGCGCCTCTTATCAACCCTTATCAGCCCTTATCACTATCAAAAATGCAGTTTTTGGCTTCAGAACAGTCTAAAGACAGGGAAAAATAGGGCCTTAATAGGGTATTTACCGCTCTACAACTGGAATATATTGGCCATGCTAAACTCCGCCTCCTGTGGGCGGGGCGTGCGCTTAAAGTAAAATTTTTCGTGAAAAAATAGGCGTTTTTCGTCCAAAAACATCCAAAAAACCAGGTAATGGGGGTTGAATAGACCATAGATCACCCCCTATATCATACTATTATATAAACCAGAGTTTGTTTGTCTGACCGCTCCCCAAAAATTCGCAAGTGTCCCCCACATGTTTATAATTCTTCCTTCAAAAATCACCTAGGGAGGGCGGGTCAAGTTTGGAATAGGTAGAGTATGAGCAAATGAGGCAGAGCAGAATTACAAAGACTTGACATATCCCATTCCCCGACGTCATCTTCAAGTTCACAGTTTCTATAGTATTTGATTCTGAGACCACTCGACCCACTTCAATTCCACCCCATTTCCTCTCCAAAACCCCAGACCATCGGCGAGGGGGGGCAAATACCTCTGATGAAACGGGAAAATCCTCGAATTTGGAACTTTCACGCTTGATAACTTCTTTCGCCACAAATCATCAAAAACTGGGATGGCGGTATTAAATAGCCTTGAAACGAGAAAAACAATCAATTGTCTTAACTTCTCCCATTTTTCCACCCTCTTTCTCCTCCCTTTCACGTTATACCTAGACTCCCAAACCCAAACCACTCCCATCAGTAACACTTCTGCCATGTTCCAGATTCTCAAATACATGAAAGTAAGGCAACCCGAGAAGGCCTACAAACATGGGAAGATGCTTGACAAAAAATTCGTGACTGTATCATCATGTGCACAAAGCAAAAAGAGAATGATAGAAAAAACTATTCATTCTGTGCATGAAATACCCTTCAGCTGGCTGAGCATTGCTCAGTCTGGCGGGGTGTAAATAGGTGTAAACTGGGTATCCCACTGCATTTATAATTCTTTTCTAAGACGGCTCGAAAAGCCGAAAAAGTATGGGCTCGGGATTTGATTGCCATAAGTGTTGTTGTTGAAAACTTCTGAGCTATCAACCGATACGGATTATATACTATACATAGGTTTTCCCCTAGGGGGTCGGAATTGGTCACCTCTCACACTATTCACTGGGTGAGGTCGCAGCAACCAAAATTCTATACGTTCATGTATGATTGCATATGTATTGCGCAACTCGGGTCAGTATCATCCCCCACAAGTCATCTACTCACCGCAGCCGTCTCTCGCGCTCGGTATCGTGCGCAGCCCAACTGGTATACCTATAAACCACGAAAACATGCGCACGCACGAGCGCAGAAGCGAAACAGTCTAGATGCCTTTCGACATGGTCAAATCTTCCCTCTCACCGTTTCGCGTCGACGTATCGAAAGTGAAACGCGGATCACCTTCAGTCCACCTGATCGATAAACATACTTCTCTTTCAAAAGGATTCGCGGATTTGACGCCTCTCCCAACTTGCAAATCGGACCTCCTATTTTGCGGATCGATACGCATTCGGTTCCTTTCGCGAATCCGCAGATTCGATCGTTTCGCGCATCCTTCGGCCGTAGCGCGAGCTCTGAGCTTATGTGTCCATAAGCATTCGCGCCCTGGAAAATAGTGGTCTCACATCATACTTGGCCTTCCAAACAGGGTCGACCGTCTGTTTGCACTATTCGAACGAAGGGGTCGCATTTGTGACTTTGATTACCCGTTTGGAGAAGAGTGTGAATGCGTGCTTGTATTTGTAAGAGTTCAATGGGTGAGGGGAGGGGGAGAGGTGTTTTCTGACCGATTTTACGACTATTGCTTTGAAAACTTCATGAACGGAGCGTGAAGTGGATAAAATGAAAGGGATTTGCTGCTTCATCAGGGTTACCACGCGCTTGACGCGCGTTCTAGAGAGAAGCCGTCTGAGGCTAATGTTGAGGGGAGGGAGGTCTTATCAAGACTCTCCTTGAAAGAGGGTGGGAGTCACAAAATTTCTGAAAAGTGCGAACACGACGGTTGGCCCTTCTTCCAAATCATCAGTGATCAAAGTGACGTTCAGTCTTTATTCCCTGTTCCTTTTGCATTAGAGAATTACATCGAAAGCATCTCTCTCGGTTAATCTGTAAGAAGACCTGATGCCGTATGCTATCCTCATCCCTTTGAAACTTTGAAATCCCTTCAAATTTTCTTTGTCTGTGCCCAAAGAAAATGTCTATTAGTAGTAAATGCGTGTGTAAAGATAAAGTTGTGCCACAAGTAAAGATATCATTATAAACAAATATATCGAAGGGATTTTTCGTTCTCCTAGCCTGGGAAAGATAACATACGAATGCTGCCGAGCCCAATATAATTCGAGTAGTAATAGCATTCGAGTAGAGCTGCAACGCGCTGCTATTCATTCCAGGCAAATTTGCGCATGAGGGCGTGGGGTAGAGTGTCTTGTGTGT